ATTATTGTTAAATGGATTCCAAATATAATTTCATTTTTTTTCATTACGTTTTGTAACAATTTTTTAATATTACAATTTAAACTAATAAATAATTTGTTATTCCTTGCACCAAAAAAAAAAAAAAAAAAAATTGTTATTCCTAATTTAATAAATAATACCCAAATAGATAAATTTTGCTCGTCCTATGTCACGTCTGTTAAAAAACTTCGCCTTGTCATCTTTCTGTCAACGGAAGTTAAGTGTGTGTATCGTGTTGCCAAAAAAAATAGAAAATAGTCCAAACATAAACAACAAGATTTTTTTATTTTTTTTTCTTTTCAATTCCAGACAATAACATCACATAGAGAACCTCTCTTTCATGTCCAACCAATAATCAATCTCATAACATTAACTTATTCAATTTTTATCACATAATAAATAATGATTTGTTACAACATAAGAATTAAAAAAAAAAAATGAAGAAAAAGAGAATAAATTGATCATTTATTGTTATCACACACAACTATTATCATTCAGTTTTTGTACTTGGAAGATGATTCCCCACTTTCAAGATCACCTGTGCTGAATTCTCTATTTTGCCCCTGCATGAACTCACTAGATTTCATCTTATTCTCCTTCTTCACAATCTCCTCTTCAAACCTCTTATCCTTTTCCATGGACAAAACCACCTGTGGCCCAAATGGGCCCTTCACAATATCCTCCTTCACCTTCAGATGCTCGTCTGCACGTATGATCACATCGTCATCTTTTTCATCAGACGACTTCTTTTTTCTCATCTTGATTATGAAAAACGAGGCCACAAAGAACAAGCCGATCATGAAAAAGAATCCCAACGAGACAAACACGACTAAAACCACGGCCATTGTAAACCGAGCTTCTCAAGAATATTCGACTACTCGTGATATATATGTTTTTGTCTTTTGGAAGGTTGGTGCAAGAACTAGTCTTTTTGGGGGCTATTTATATATAGACTATTCATCAAATATCAATTTGGCTTTATAAGTGCTTTACTTTCAAGAATTGAGAGACTTGACTCTAATGTTAAGATTTCTATAGGATGTGGTGGTGGTGTTGGTTGCAGTAGAAAGCACACATCCATTTTGCCTTACCATTTTTATTTATTTATTTAATTATTTATTTATTTATTTTTTTTTATTTTTTTTTTAACCAAAAGATTTTATTATTCTTGTTCTTTTAGAAGAAATGAATTTATATATTTCTGTTGTTTGTTCCTAATCACATTATTCCTTAATCTCTATTTTGTCCTGCATGAACTCACTAGCTTTTATAGTGCATAATTTTCAAATTTTGTTTCAATGTGTTAATATTTGGCAAATGATCTATATTTCATTGTGGAATTGTAAAAAGAAATTCTAAAAGAAAAATAAATAAATAAATAAGTAACAAAGATATATTTGCTTATTATTATTTAAAATGGAACCTATATTTTACACTCAGTTTATTAACAATGATAATATTTAATTACATATATATAAACAAATTCTAGAACTCCATAATTTTAATTTTTTTTTAAAAAAAATAAATCCAAGTTTCGTTGTAGTCGTAGTTTTATTTTATATTTATAGAGTCGTTGTCTCTTATGTATAATTGTTTTCAAGGATCTTCAACTTTACAATTTTCAATAATTTAAAATATATAAATTTATGTGTATAAATGCAAAGTATTCCTATTCTGTAAAATATAAGGAAAAATTGCACTATTCGTCCACTAACTATACCCTCGTTGCACTTTCGTCCTGTAATTGTTTCCGATTTACAATTGGTACACTAACTTTTTTTTTTAGTAATTTTAGTCCAAAATGACATTTCGGTGCTCATTTTCGCCGGAATAGCTGATGTGGCGCCCAGTCAGATCGGAATTTCCATTCTCGACGTGATGTGGCACGAGGTGGCGCCTAGTCAGATCGGAAAAATTGCACTATCCGTCCACTAACTTTACATTCGTTGCACTTTCGTCCTTTAATTGTTCCGGTTTACAAAATCAGAAAAGAATATTAAAAAAATCAAAAGAAAAATAAAAAGCTTTAAAAAGAAAAAGAAAAAATCAAAAAGAAAAAGAAAAAAAATATATTTTTTTTTATTTAATAAAAATTAGTTTTTAATTTAATAAAAAATAAAATATTTAATGATTAAATAAAAACGAAATAAATTTATAATGAGTGATAAATATTTTTTATTTAATGATTAAGTATGTAATACAAAAACAAAATATTTTTTAAAATCAAAAAATATTTTTTTTATTAAATATTTAATTTTTCATTAAATATTTAACCATTAAATAAAAAATATTTATTAAATGTTTATTACTCGTGAAAATATTTATTTCGTTTTATATTTCTTTTTCATTGAATATTTTTTATTTTTTTACTTAAATAAAAAATAATTTTTCATTAAACAAAAAAATGATAATATTTCTATTTTTATTAAATATTTAACCATTAAATAAAAAATATGTATTTCTCATTAAACATTTATTTTGTTTTTTATTTTGGTTTTTATTAATTATTTCGTTTTTTAATTAAATAAAAAAATGTATTTTTATTTAAAAAAAAAAGATAATTTTTTTTTTTATTTTGTTTAAAATCATTAAACAAAATGATTTTTTTATTAATTTTTTTTGGTTAATTTTTTTATCCACATGTCCTTTCATTTTTTTTTAAAGCTTTTTCTTTTTCTTTTGATTTTCTTAATATTTTTTTTCTTCTGAATTTGTAAATCAGAAACAATTAAAGGACGAAAGTGCAACGAATATAAAGTTAGTGGACCAATTGTGCAATTTTTCCGATCTGACTAGGCGCCACCTCGTGCCACGTCACGCCGAGAATGATTCCGATCTGACTGGACTCCACATCAGCCATTCCGGCAAAAATGAGCACCGGAATGTCATTTTGGACTAAAATTACCAAAAAAAAAAAAAAAAAAATAATTAGTGTACCAATTATAAACCGGAAACAATTAAAGGACGAAAGTGCAACGAGGATATAGTTAGTGGACGAATAGTGCAATTTTTCCGAAATATAATGAAGTTTGTACATAACTTGATGAATATTTTCATTCATATTCTTTATGTTGGAAGTTATAATAACATTTAATTTCCTTATATATCTTATTTATTTAAGATAAGAAATAAACTTTTAGAATACTTATTTATCATCATTTAATAAAAATTGTTCATGGTATATTATTATTAATTTTTTTTTGCCGAAACAATAAAAAATATTA